TCCTGCAGCTGTGCTAAGCAGCACACAACAATATTTGTTTAAAATATAAAATATCCTAATAACATTTATCTTTGAAAGCAAACTTGCACAATTCCACTTTTCCAATTTACAACTTAGATCAGAAAAACTGGAACCGTTACATCAAGATTAGTTACAAATTTTTAATTCAGTGAAACTTATATACTCAATATATAAGGAAATAATATTAGCAATAATAGGATCAACAAGATTTAGAGCTATATTAACATACACACATATGCCCTATGGTGTCATTTAACCTCCATGTAGCGTATAACTTCACACTTCCAAACAGGTGGCAAAATGGTACTGACAGTCCATCTATTTTGGACAGCCATGCTCCAGAATGTAAAAGGGACCCAGAAGCTGGATATCCCAAAGTGCCCTGGGATGCTTGGGAACACTTCTAATTCCATTATCTCTTATCATCAAAATATCTATAGACAGTAATCTTGGAACTACAGCAGGGTAATGACTATGTACCTTAAGTACAAATGCAAGATGACACATACAAGGACAAGAGTGTTTTGTTACAGAGTTGAACTACTACTACAAATTGATAGTGGAACAACCTGCAACAAATAAGCCCTATGGAAAAATAAATTCTTTTACATCAATAACCAACTAACAGTTTTTACGAATGTCTATTAAGTGATAGCACAAACCAATATTAGCAGAAAACAGAATTACAAGGACTGACAATAAGTGGTGCAAAACAATCTCTAGACTTAAAGGTTTATAAGGTATGATGACAGGCATATACCCTAAGGACTTATCACAGATATCCACTTAGCTTCCTGAGGAATTTCATTTGTATTATGTATGAATTAACTAAAATTAATGACAAACAGAATCAGTCATCACAAAATACTAAAATCCACAGAGAAGTGATACAATTCTAATGAGCTAAACATAGTATGTCAAATGACTGGTAATATGCCCAGAGAACTGTAGTACGGTGAGCTCAAGTACATCAAGTGAAAGCCAGGGAATACAAAAAAGGCTGAGTGGTTGTACTACAGCAGGGGTCAGCAAACGACGACTCACTCTCTGTTTCTGTAGAACCCATGAAACAAGAATTGGTTTTTACAGATGGTCATTTGCAATCAATTTGATAATAAGGAGCACAAACTTTGAACCTCAATTAAGAGAAACGTTATGCCCCTCCAAAAGAGGATTTCATTCTACTCATGAGTAGATATGTATTACAAAAAATTGTACTCAATAGTTATATTTTGAATTTCATCAATAAAATTTTCATGGAAATTCACTTTTTCTTTTGTTATATATCTGCACAATATCCTTGATTTTTGTCTCTTGGCCTACAAAACCTAAAATATCTTGCTATCTAGCCCTTCACAGAAAAAGTTCGCCAACTCCTGTACTGGAGCATTAATTTAAACAAGGGGAAGTACACAGGCTGTTAGAAAACAAAGGGAACAAACTATTCAAATGTATTTGACTGTAGTATAGAAATCAGGAAGGAAGTACAAGCATACCTTGGAGGTTTCTCTGGTTTGGTTCCACATCATCACAAAAAGCAAATACCATGATAAAGAGAGTTGCATCAATTTTTTGGTTTCCCAGTGCATATAAAAGTTATGTTTACACTATACTGTAGTCTATTAAGAGTGCAATAGCATTATGTCTAAAAAAACAATGTACATACCTTAATTCAGAAATACTTTATTGCTAAAAAATGCTAACCATCATCTATCTGAGCCTTCAGCAAGTCGTAACCTTTCTGCTGGTGCAGGGTCTTGCCTTGATGTTGATGGCTGCTGACTGATCAGGGTGGTGGTTGCTGAAGGCTGTGGCAACTTCTTATAATATAAGACAATGAAGTCTGCTGCATCAATTGACTCTTCCTTCCACGGAAGATTTCTGTGTAGCATGCCATGCTGTTTGATGGCATTTTACCCGCAGCAGAACTTCTTTCAAAATTGGAGTCAATCGTCTCAAACCTTGCCACTGCTTTATCAACTAAGTTTATAAAATATTCCAAATCTTTTGTTGTCATTTCAACAATGTTCACAGCATCTTCACCAGGAGTAAATTCCATCTCAAGAAACCACTTTCTTTGCTCATCCATAAGAAGCAACTTCTCATCCGTTGAAGTTTTATCATGAGATCGCAGCAATTCAGTCACATCTTCAGGCTCCACTTCTAATTCTAGTTCTCTTGCTACGTCCACCACATCTGCAGTTACTCCCTCCACTGAAGTCTTGAACCCCTCAAAGTCATCCATGAGGGTAGCAATCAACTTCTTTTAAACTCCTGTTAATGTTGATATTTTGACCTTCCATGAGTCACGAATGTTCTTATCGGCATCCGGAATGGTGAGTCCTTTCCAGAAGGCTTTCAATTTACTTTGCCCAGATCCATCAGAGGAATCACTACTGATGGCAGCTATAGCCTTAGGAAATGTATTTCTTAAATAATAAGACTTGAAAGTCAAAATTACTCCTTGATCCATGGGATGCAGAATGAGTATTGTGTTAGCAGACATGAAAACAATACGAATCTCTTTGTACATCTCCCTCAGAGCACTTGGGTGACCAGATGCATTGTCAACGAGCAGTAACTTTCTAAGAAGTAGGTCTCAACAGTGGGCTTAAAACATTCAGTTAACCATGTCGTAAACAGATGTGCTATCATCTAGGCTTTAGAAGATTTAGCATAATTCTTAAGGGTCTGAGGATTTTTGGAATGGTAAATGGGCAATGGCTTCAACTTATAAAAGTCACCAGCTGTATTAGCCCCTAACAAGAAAATCAGCCTGTCCTTTGAAGCTTTGAAGCCAGGCACTGACTTCTTCTCTCTAGCTATGAAAGCCCTAGATGGCATCTTCTTCCAATATAAGGCTGTTTCGTCTACATTGAAAATCTGTTGTTTAGTGTAACCACCTTCAACAATTAGCTTCGCTAGATCATCTGGATAACTTGCTGCAGCTTCTACATCAGCACCTGATGCTTCACCTTGCACTTTTATGTATGGAAATGGCTTCTTTCCTTAACTTCTGCTAGCTTCAAACTTTTCTTCTGTAGCTTCCTCACCTCTCTCAGCCCTCACAGAATTAAAGAGAGTTAGGGCCTTGTTGCTTTCTTACCATTTGTGTATTCACTAGAGTAGCAACTGTGATTTCCTTCAACTTTTCCTTTTTTCCATTCACAACCTGGCTAACTGTTTGGCACAAGAAGTCTAGCTTCTGATCCATCTTGGCTTTCGACACGTCTTCCTCACTAAGCTTAATCCTATGTAGCTTTTGATATAAAGTGAGAGATGTGCAACTCTTCCTTTCACTTGAACATTTATAGGCCACCATAGGGGTTATTAATTGGCCTAATTTCAATATTGTCTGTCCTGTCTCAGGGAACAGGGAGGCCCGAGAAGAGGGACAGAGATGGGGGAACAGCTGGTCGGTGGAGCAGTCAGAACTCACACATTTTCTTATATGGGCACAGTTTGTGGCGCCTCCGAAACAATTACAATAGTAACATCAAAGATCACTGATCACAGATCACCATTAACAGATATAATAATAATGAAAAAGTTTGAAATATTGCAGGAATTACCAAAATGTGATACAGAGACATAAAGTTAGCACGTGCTGTTGGAAAAATGGTGTCGACAGACTTGCTGGACTCAGGGTTGCCGGAAACCCTTAATTTGTTAAAAAAAAAAAAAAAAAGAAAGAAAAAAAAAAAAAGCACTATTTGCAAAGTGCTACTGAAGAAAAGTTAAAGGTCCTGTCTGAAGCTAAAAGATGGTTGGTCACCCAAAAAAGACCAGAAATATCACAGTGGTCTTAGTTCCAAATCAGAAGAAATTATATGGATAGTAAGGAAGATCATTGATCACACACTGGGTTTTTCCCTTTGATCAAAAGAAAACATATTTTTATAGAATCAAGTACAAGGATGTAAAAATAACTTGATAATAGTCCCGTGTTCAATTGGTGGAAGCTACCTGGGAGTTACGGCTCATAAGGAAAACTAAATTCAAGCTGTAAATACAGAATGGGCTGCATCCCAAAGTAGTGATGTGATGCTGGAAGTGTTTGAGAAAACACTAGAAAATCTTATCTGTTAGGAACGTAACTAAAAGAAGGCTTTTTCATTAGATGGAAGATTGAACTACATGACCTCTAAGGATAATTTCAATCTTACAACTTTATGAAGTATTTAGGAAATCAAGAGTTAAACCTCAAAGACAGTAGATATCACTGCTTTAGTCAAACTGAAATCTTATAATGAACCAATCTAGTGGTCTAATATATAGACACTAGATTAAAAAAAAGTGGGGAGGGGTTTCCTTTAAGATCTCAAATATTAATACATTTAAAAATTTTACTAAAATCTCAGCTTTACTGTTCTAAGAGGCAATATTAATTCCAAGATAAAATACTTTGAATCAGGTACTTGTCAAAGTGTTCACAGACCTAATAAATAAAATCATGTTAAAGCCATAAGTCAAAATTCTGCTTCCATAAGTTATCTACTCATATATGCATGCATTCGTTCTTTTGTTTTATAAATATTTACATATTTGAGTAAGTACAAATATCTCTTACGTGTTCAGCATAACAGTAGGAGCACAGAGTACATAATGAGCAAAGATGTAGCTCCTGTTTTTATTCAGTTTACATACAGTTTAGTGAGACCTTGTAGTCTAATTTTGTTTTAAGAACTTTAAAACAAGAGATATATCCCTTTCTTGCATGAGATATCCAAAAGCTTTTCCAGTATCATACAACAGAAAAATAACTCAATTAGTGACCAAAGGCTGAGATCCTATTTTTGCTCTGTTAGAAGCTGTACATGCTATGTGACTTTGGATCACTTTCTCCTTTTTTAAGTTTCTCATGGGGAGGATGGGGTAGGGTACATGTGTGTGTTGAGACTGTATGTGCTGTATTCTTAGAATAGCCCCCAAAGCCCTTCCAGCTCAAAAATTCTAACTCTAAAATTCAACCTTCTCACCTTGATTATTTCCACCAATTGATCCACACCACTGTCTCCTGGAAATATTGGTTGTCCTAGCAACAGTTCAGCCAACACACAGCCTGCAGACCACACATCTAAAGAGAAAAGAAAGAAAAAGCTTATTAATACTTTACAGCTTAAGTTGAGTGGAAAAATGTTTGATGTATATATATATTTTAATTTTACTTTGATCACAAAGAGTAAATATCACAAGAAAAGACTGTATAAACTCACAAAAGAGGAAAGAAGGTCACTAAGAATATTCCAAGAAAGAGTGTAGTCCATTAGTATCAAACATCAACTAACAAGACAGAGGATTATAATAGCAAAACAGAGGCATGATTATCTACTTATCATACTGAAAAATAAGCCAAAGACAATATTTTTACACAATAGCAGGTGCCTGTAGAGGAGGAGCAAACAAGTGTTCAATCTCCAGTACACAAAGGATCTTAAACATACTTTGAGGAAAATTTTTAAGATTTATAATGACTGGCTTTTATGTTGTAATATGAGTGACAGAAAAATGTGCTAAAATATATCATCATTTTTAAAAGCAAAAAATGGCAAAGATGGAGGAATATATTTTATTTCATAAATTATAATTCACTTTTAAGGTCAAAGTGGAAAACCTCAATCCAAAAAGAAAATCTTATTTATTCTTTTATTTTTAATAATTTAAAGTTAGGGTAACCATACATCCTGGCTTACACAGGATAGTCCTGGTTTACCTCTATTATCTATCTTATTCTCTACATTAAAAAAAAATCTATTTAACTTGTTTATCTACTATCTATTCTTCATATAGTTTACCAAAACAACACAACAGATTAAATGCAGAAGATATGAGAACCTAGCTGTTTTCCATTAAGTCAGAGAGATTTACGAAAATGTAATGCAATGCCGCTCTTCTTGCTAGTTTTTTGTTTTGTAAAATATCGTTATTTTTCATAAAATGTGCTATTTTGAAAAAAAATGTTACTGTGAAATGGGTTTTATTAGGTCAAAATGAATTGATAAATAAATATTTAAAAATTTCCCCAGTTTTAATTTCTAAGATGGTAAATATCAATAGATACAACCCACATAAACAAAAGCTCTTAGGAGTCATCAATAACTAATAGTGAAAAGGGGTCCTGAAACAAAACTGTTTTTGAACAATACCTAACAAATTGTAAGACCACAACCAGCACTGCAGTATGAGCCTCTGACTAGCCTCTTGTAACAAAATGCAAATATCACTTGTTAAAAACTAGTTAATTTTTACAAGCCAAGGAACCCCAAGGATCACCGGCCATCACCAGAAGCTGGGAGAGAGGCAACGAACAGATTCTCCTTCAGAACCTCAGAAGGAATCAACACAGCCGACACTCTAATTTTGGACTCTGGCCTCCAGGACTGTGAGAAAATAAATTCCTGTTATTCTAAGAAAAAAAAAAAGCTAGTTTTGACCATGAATATTTCAAAGTGGACTTTACCATATTTAGTGATATTTTCTATCTGTCAGGTGTAATAAGAGTATGACAGACTACAAAAAATTCAGAATTATTTTTGAAGACGGTTCCAGCATATCAATATGCAAAATTTTCAACCTTTAACAACACTATTGCAAGAGGGATTGAAAAAAGATTAAACAGTAGAGAGAACTCTTATTGTGTTGTATTATTTAGTAACCGGAGTTATTAGAAATAGCTGTATCACTGACTTCTGTAAAAATATAACATTTTAAAGTAGATTTTAAAAATGTTGCCAAATAAAAATGCATAAAAGATTCTTAATGGAGCAGCTGTTCATTTTACTTTTAGATTAGTGATCAAGTTCTCCTAATTTTGACTCTACAGTAGAGGGGTTGGTTTGGTGTTTTATTTTTTCCTTTAAAATCATTTACCAAACCTGTTCCCATAAATATTAGTTCTCCTACACATCCCAGCCCATGCCCCAATCCCTTCATACTTGATTTACTACAACAGCTTCTCATCTGGTTTCCCATTCTTCACTGTGTCATCTCTCTTGGTCTACCTTATACAATGCAAAGAAAATGAACTTTTATAAAGAGCTACTTATCATCAAATCTCTCCCCTAGTCAAAAGTCAAATCTTAACCTTTCAGCCTAACTTTATCTGGTTTTGGGGATAAATCACAGGAAGTTAACAATTCTATTTTATGACAGTTACCAAACATGCATTACTTAGAATGGTCCCGATCATAGAAAGTTCTTTCCGATTCTGTCTATCCACATCTTAATAATCCTTCAAAACCCAGCTTAAGCATCGCTTTATGAAACCTTACGTAATTATTGTAGCCTCACTGTCATACAGCAGTCTCAATAACTGGTGATAAATAATGAAGAATCACCTGTTCAGAATTTTTCTATCATTAATTGTCTATGCCAATGGGCTTAAAAAGTGAGGAGTATGCTGATCCACTGAAGTATGAGAATAAAATATTAAAACATCTATCAACATTTATTTTCTACCTAAAAAAAAAAGGCAAACTATACTGTATCGTAATATACAGAATGACAGCAGTAGCAAATATATATGATATACATATATATAATATATGAATTTACATGTATACATACGTACAATGTACACTGGGAAAAAGTGTTAAAAATTTTTTTACACATAGGATGTGCAATCTCTTCACAAAAAAGTTTGGAGATTACTGGTCTGATCACATATTTTATTTTTTTCTAATTTTTAAAATATTTACTTATATTGTTACCTATTTCATATGTATGACTAAGTTCCCTAAGGGGGAGTATGATATTTTTATATTTCCCACAGAGCTTTGGGCACAGTACAGAGCATGGAATAGTTAGTTCTTCAAAAGTGAATGGAATGGACCACCACACTTTGTTTTAAATGACAACATATTTCATCTAACTACCTATTATCAAATTGTATCTATTTGCCATAATCGATTAATCCATCCATCCAATAATCCATTCAGTATCTGAGTGTCTTCTCTGTACAAGCTACAGTATAAGGATCTGGGGATATAACAATGAATGAGACAGGATTCTGGCCCTCATGGAGCTAATGGTGGGAGGGAGGAAGAAGAAACAGATAAAAACTAAAAACTGTGTTAAACACGACGGTGGAAACAAACAGGTGTTGAAAATTCTACCTATAAGGAGTGATCAGGACCTTCCTTTTCAAGGAGGTAACAGAAGCATGAGCAAAAGAACTGCACCAGGAGTTTGGTTTATTAAGGCACTGAAAGATCAGTAAGACTAGAATATAGCATAGAGAATAAAATTTGTATTAGATGAGACAGAAGGTATAGGAAAGTGGCCTAATCATGCAAAATCTAGCAGACCACATTAAGAAGCATGCATGCAGAGAGACCATTTAAGAAGCTGCTGCCATAGACTGAGGTAAAAGACAATTAGATGTCAATGGGCATAGAAATAAGCAAGCTGGAAATATGTATTACAGGATTTGTGTTGAATGTGGACAGTGAGAAAGGAAGGAATCAAAGGTGATCCTTTGGCTTCTAGTTTAAATGGATAGATGGTGATGCCATTTACTGAGGGAGAAGAAACATACACAAGATGATGAGAAATAAGGAAAGCAGCAGCTTCCTTAAATGACTTCATTAAAGTTGTAATAAATCTGAAGGACTGGACTTCACTGCCTGCAGATACGGTCTTTACGATAATAACAATGTTCTGTACTGGATCATGAATACGTACGAAAGGTATTCTTACTAGACACAAACTATACATTATTTAACTGACATATGATACATTCTGCTTCTCATGGTTGTAGTGGAAAAGAGACTGTGTGACCTTAGACAAGATATTTATTCTGAGAATCACTTGCCTCATCTGTAAAATGGAAATAATAGTAGTACTTATATATCAAAGGATTGCTGTGATGCTTAAATAGGTAAATACAAATAAACTGCTTAGGAAAGTGCTCTAAGATTCACTATAAGTTATAACTTCCCAATTATTTAGAAAACTTGTGTCAAATCTCTCTAGGAAATAATCAGAAATGAATTTAAACCAAAACACTAGTTAAAAGATTGCTATTCAGGAAATTATCTTCACCATGACAATTTTGCATTAATACTTGCCATACTACCCAGATAAACTGCTAACTTGTTCAGGTCTCACTTTATGATTTTCTTCATCTTCTACCTGATAATAAAATCCATATAGTTGGAATGCACTAATTTCCACTGAAGGATTTATCCATTCATTCTGGTAGTAACAACTAGATTGGCTTACCCATTCTTATGCAGGTAGAGATGACTTAACCCGTTGCCACTGAGTTGATTTCAACTCATAGTAAACCTACAGGACGGAGTAGAACTGCCCCATAGGGTTTGCAAGGAGCAGCTGGTAGATTCAAACAGCCGACCTTTTGGTTAGCAGCCTGAGCTTTTAAGCACTGTGTCACGAGGGCTCCACAGATGACTTATATGGGTGCATAATCTTGACCATGATAGCTCAGGAAACTTAACCTCCTGGTTCACAGAAAAATTAACTTTTATCAAATATCTGCAGGATGGTAGAGATGGGCATAATGAGGGCAAGATGACTGAAGAAAGCTCTTGAAATGAAACATGGAATTCTTCCCAAATGAAGACATAAAATCACAAAGTAAGTACATGCCCCTAAGATTACTTCAGCTCTAGCTTAATTATGGAGAATTTAGGACCATCCTACTATAAGTGACCTTTCTGTCACAACACAGATCCTACTCTAGGAAGATAAACTGTCTCTGGTTAATTTCTACACTATAAGTTATAGTGTGTTATCTATATCTATTTGAAAGAAATTCTATTTGTAATACATACAATCTAATTTGTGTGCTTTTGTTTCTATTTTTGAGCTAAAGAATTCCCTTTAAGGACATGATATGTAACAGTAAAATAATTTTGACCTCCACTTAGCTTCCTATTCATGCCCAAATGATCATGTTCTCTCTTCTTATTCCTAGCTAGTGGGTTAAAGAGTAATAGGGTAGGAGGACAATGAAGATTGAAGCAAACTGTCTCTATTCAATTACCTCTGTCATTAAACGTATCTGGTGAAGACTTCACCAGAATCGGTGAGTTTAGCCAAACTACTAATAAAAAA